AAAACTCCGCTCCATCTACTTTTTCCTTATTGGTCTTCAATTTTCAGGTGCTTGCCGCTGATGAAGTTTGCACGGCTCAACGGTTACCATCTCGATTATCTCAGGTTATCAACTTATCGCTTGACCCGGCCGATCACATCTATTCGAACTATCCTCGACGAAGCATAATTTTCGAGAATCTTTATTGTTGTAGAAAAGCCTGTCTGCTGTCAGGGTCACTTGCATGTATCCATATCATAATCGTGTACGAGTAAGGGTTAAATCCCTAGAAATGCTGCTGTGAGATTAGGATTCTAGTTATATCGGAGCTTATAAGCTTCACTGTCTTTATAAGAATGATTTCGCAGAGATTTCAATGAGTTTCTTCTGTAGGCGAATCTTTGAATGCTGCACTAGCGGCGCTTTATCTAGTCTTTCACTTGCCTGCCGAGTTTCAACACTCATTCCGGATTGTTTGTTCAGATTCTAAATATGTAAATGAATATGCAATGTACAGATCCATGGTTCCGTTTCTTAGTGGGAAAACAAAAGAAATAAACAAAATGTCATTTAAAGGCTTATTTCACGATAAGAAACGCAGGTAGTGGTGTTGCAATATGTCCATGAAAAAAATGCCAAAGATAGGGTGGCCAACGTTTTGGTGGACACATCCAGCCTCAAGGTATGGTACAGGCGAAAGGTCGAAAGACCGCGTGTATAAGGGGAGCTGATTCCTTGTATTGAAACCCCATTGACCCCAGGGACAATGGATTTCAGTGCCATGGTGTCCCGCTCGCGTTCGTTTGAACTTGAATGGCAAACCTGCTGCAGGCGCAAGCGTCTTTGGAGGCGGATTCCGCTGAATCACAGGGAGGTTGCCCACTAAGCAAATTCTGCTTCTTAACTACCCGTTCAATTATTCCGCGGCACGATCTGTCTGTTGCCCGCACCCCACGACCAACAACCTCTTGCAGATTTCACAGGCCCGCCCGGCGGACAGTCCCTGTGCTCGAGTTGTGAGGGTAGTGTCCACAAAATATCATTGTGAAGACTGTGGTGCGTAAGTAATTCGCCGGTCTCACGTCAGAAAAGGGGGGGGGGAGAGGTGCAATCGAGCTTTCTCTGAGCTATTCGCTTACGCTGTGCTGCTACTGGTTAGTGTTTACATTGTCACCGCAGAACGACCATAGTCGCGTGGCTACGTCCCTCTTCACAATCGCGAGATTATTGGGCCTATGTAAATCATACAGATGCGCAAAAAGAGTATATCGCTCAATGGATAAGAAAATCAGATCCACTCCTTGCTCCAACTGCCTCGAACAAAATAGCGAACGCGCGTTTGCCAAAGTGGGTGTGAGATCTGTTCATTCACTTTTCGTAATAACGCAGTACATATATCAGTACTTGAGAGGTCATTTCGTGCTTTTCGGCAAACTCCTGCTTCCCGCACCCGAACATGAGAACGAGAGACGAGTTCGGAAAGTCATTAACTTTCCCTAATTTCACATTAGCAGTGTGAAAATGGACCCATAGAAACAATTTGGCCAACCTGATGTGATTTCCTTGAAGTGTGTCGACATCGCTTCCTGACAGTGTCTCCAAGTGGCTTCGGCGGGTACTACCGCCTTTCAATGCATGTTTGGGCTGAACGTTCGCCTTTGTCCTACATTTCATAAAAATGTGACCATTGGAAAACACCGCCAGTACAGGCTCAACGCTGCCGCTACTGCTTGTTTAGTCACTAGATCTTTTGGGGCCTTCGGTCTTGCGTCCACGACAGGCGACGTGCCACACTCACTGAACGACCGACAGCCTCTTAAAGGATCGGCAGAAAGCAGCCGGTGGTGCCCTGCTGCTGCACTCCCACGCCCGATTGACTCTGGCTATAATGACTAATACATCTCCATTCCTCCATTTTCCGACGATGGGGAGGGCATCGCTACATACTTCATTCGAATATTTTGTAGTACCATGGGATCGATAGCGATAACGGTCCTCCCGTCTTGTGCTGGTAGAAGACGTGATTTTGATTACCAGAGCGGCAAAATCTCACCAAAGGTACAGCCTCCGCCGCGTTTGATTGAAGTGTACAGCCACCCTCTTCTATCTTCCAGGACTTAGACGAAGTCGACAATGGACTCTCGTTCAGAATTGACTCGAAATCCCTGAGATCGGGTAGGCGTGGCCTCATGTTACAAGTTAACCTGGAAGTGTTTAGGCTTCTGTTGAGATATTCCATCTCGACACAATTGTTGTCGTGTCTCTGTTCTTTACTCAGAATAAGATGATAGCTGTCCCAGACGTCAATATTCCACGAGTAGCCAGTTCAAATGCCACGCCTACTCCGTCTCAGGGATAAGGAGTGTAAGCTTTCGTGCCGTGGTCTCCGCATACATACTGCTGGCGACCACGTGCTATCATATCTACGTCAATCAAATCAATACATATAACGGACAACACACCTCAATTCCAGGGCTTCGATCCCTGGAGCAGAAAAATCTTTCGAAAAGCATTCTATTTGGAATAGTTCATTCGTAACGTAGCACGGCTGATATGATATCGATGTTCCAGCCAATGGTGTGTCGATTCATGAGAAATCTGACTATAAAAACCACTTTTCATCACCGATTTTATCGCCTTTCAGCCGATTCTTCAGACGTTTCTTATTCGCTGGCTTCTCTTTTCTAAAATGTACGCCGTGAACGCTGCCTGATGCGCAATGCGTTTTCGTCTGATGGTCAGCGGAGCCACACTAAGCGTCTCTGTCGGGGCACAGCAATTAGTTGCGAATGTTTGTCGATGTCACGAGTCTGTACGTCCCTCCCCTGCCCCTTTTTTACGGGGGTTTACCCATCCTCCTGGTTCTTCACGTCGTAGCTGTTGGGGAAAGGCGCGCAAATAGACACATAATTAAACATGGGAAAAATTATGAAACTGAAAACGCGAGGAAAATTACGTTGTCCCCCTCTACCATTTCTTAACTTTCCCAATTAATTTTTCTTGTTTCACGGATGCGATCAAGAGAGAGGGTGGTAGTTGTTCGTTGTTGGCGTTGGTCAAGGAAGGTATGGGTGTCGTGAGTGCCTTTTGAGAAAAATTGCGAAGTTGATAAAAATTTATCCTGTTGTATCCGGTTGTTGACTTTTTGCGGTTTTCCTGTTTCACATGTGCTATATGTCCGCCTCTCCCCCCCCCCCACCCCCGCTCGACCGTATCAGAGGAGGGAACTAGGGGACGGGGAGTATCAAGCCACCCTCTAGAGGGGCCTCCCTAAGCAATGATGTTCCCATTCCACCCCTCCTGTCATCGCTCCGACTGATTGCGACGATATCAACCACAAGTCGTTTCAGAAGCGAAGTGCTTCAGAATGTTCCGAAGTTGGCTCTTCAGTCTGGTAAGTGAAAGGATCCCCCTAATAATGTTTTATTACCTGTTTTCGCAGTGGAACTCGTGAGCGACTGACCCGCCAATGTCCATCACAGGTGTTCTTGTCGTTACTGTGCAGCTGCGTCACGACTCAGAGCTACGATCCTCAAGGAATAAATAAAGGTTGGTTTCACCACCATTTTGGACTCGGAGTCCACTCAACACTGCACGTAAGCCTAATTGAGATTTATCACATGGACGCTGATTTATGGACAGAAGCTAAACAACAGGCGGGACTAGAACTCATCTCCCGCTGATTTTAAAAGAGTAGTCCACGTTCATTTTATGTTCCTACCCACTCTTTGAATATTGTGACCCTCAGTGTAAGATGGAGGCTGATCATTTCGCAGCTCAAAAATGAGGATAGCGCCGCGAGCTCGTGAAGAGGTTGACCCTCCTCCTAGGCTGCCACGACGCCCAACGTTCATTTCATTAGTTGCCCGATGATAGCTTGTCCTGCCACCAACAAGTGAGAATTCAATCGACCACGTTTTCCCATCGCCTCATGCACCTCACTTCATGGGGTTCTATATAGGGCATTTCCCATTATTTTTTTTGCTGCTTTCTTCTTCATAACGGGATTACTTGCTACCTTTTTGTTACTGTATAAGCCTCATAGCTCATCAACTTTCATACTCAAAACTTAAAGGCAGCGTCCGCGTTCAGTTGAGATTTTGCGCTCTCCCTTCCGTGAGCAGGTAGTCAGGTCCGCTTGATCGCAACAACTACACCACTTTCGCTGCGCAAAAACGAGTGAGGAGGCCCACGATGCTGCGGTTCTCATCATTGGCCCAACCTTCAATCATTGGCACCGCCCCCTTTCATTTCTAATGGTTGCCTGAAGGCCGCGTTCATACAGACGGCATCCGCGGCATCCGTGGCCTCTGCGGAATTTTCAGAGCAAGCAAAGTATACGTATCGATTTGGAAAATTCCGCAGAGGCCGGAGGCGCCGCCGAGCCGGCCCCGCCGCGGCCACCGGCCGCGATGCCTTGCGCGCCTGGATGTGGGTTGTTCCATTGCGTCTCTCTCCAACGGTCGGTAGTACGTGAGAGTGAGATGATAAGGGAAAAAAGCTGATATCAACAAGTGGAAACTTGTGCGACCGCACCTTTCTTCGCCTTGAGCACACGTACAATCTCAATTAAGCAAGAGTTCTAATCATCAGAAGCCTTTCTCTATTATTTGTTTTGATTTTTCGTTACTAAGGGGTTGCTTGCTACCTTGTTATGAGTATTCGAGCCGCATAGCTCATCAAATTTGAATGCGGGCTCAGCCTTTAACCGAGTAAATCACATAGAAAAAACGTCCTTGCGATTTCCATATTTGTTCCGACAAGCCTATCAGGACTCGAGCGGGGCTTTTTGGAATGCTGTTCCCTGCCTCAAGATATCCGCTTCTCCATGATTTCATGTACGACATCCACCTGCCACCTCTGCCTCGACGTCCCAAAACACCGTAGGGCTTACCCTCAGAATCGCCGCTTCTCAGGGTCCCAAGGGTGACATCTTCCAAAGTATAGACATGGAAATTGATTATAATCTAACCAGATCTTTCCAGACGCTGTGCCGTTCTGTCCCGCGCAGTGCGGCAAAAAGAATTGCAAGGAAAGGTGTGTTTTCATGAAACCAAGAGACTGCTATTCCGTCGAATGCACTTATTATGTGTAAAAAAAAGCTGTTTTGTTTCTGTTGTTGCTTGTGAGAGGCAATGAATTTTCGGAGCATTTTTTTTCGGTGACAGTTGACAAGAACTCCATAGGAATCTGAGCGGCTTTGTGACCTTCTGACAATGAACAGTCATGATCTTCTCACCTTTTGCAGGGTCCAGGTTGCGTAAATTTTTTTGCGGAATGCGACTCTCCTTAGATTCCTCCTTCGGTAAATCCTCCATGTAATATACTTTACTGAATTTTTCCAGACTTTAGTCGTGGAGAAGGGAGAGGAGCAACATATGCTGCCCATATGTACAGTTGATATCGCCGGAATAAGTCGGGCTGGTTTCAAGGTGGCCAATCGAGCCCGTCCGTAGCGTTCCTCACCACTAATACCCTTCCTTAAAGGCACTTTCCGCGATAAAATAAGGCTATGACCTTTCAAATGTGTCAGACGATCCGGAAGGAGATTGCGGAGGCTGCGCTACCTTTAGAAAGTGAAAATCGGCAAGAATTCCGCTTTAAGCTAACCAATTAGGCCCATGGGCGCCCCTTAGGCCCATGCCGACCCCCACCGGCTGCTAGCTACTAGCTAGTAGCCACTATGCTATCTCTCTCCATTCCGAATGGTGAGAGTGAGGTGATACGATAAAAGAGCTGATATCTTTATGATAACGACGAGTGGAAATTCGTACAAACATGCGTTTTCTTCATTGCATGCATGTACAAGTTGGGTCGATATGGAATCCTATTTAGGGCATTTTCGGCTGTTTTTCTGCTGCTTTTCTCCGCTAATCAGATACCTAGCCCTTTTTCGTTCCTATGTGGGTTCCGTTACCCACAATCTGTGGTCGCGGGCTTTGCCTTCAAATGGATCACAAAACGATCACTATCGAGAGAGGTATGTGGGGGCAGGCTCATTCCACCCCCTGTGCATCGCCCCGCTGACTGCAAAAGGATCAGGTATGCAGTTTTGTTTGCCGCCGGTTCTGAGCATGCCAAGAGAGGGGAACTGGTTTTGTGATGCGCCAGCCCCTATTCACTGTTTGCTGAAGCTTGCCTTCTTGAGCAATTGGTGGGGAATGGATAAGAGACACAGCCGTTCGAGCCTCTCGACACGCCCCGACAACCGCAGCGAAAGCAAGAAGACTCTATAGTGCATGAGAGCCTGCACTGAAACCCTCATTCGAGGGCTGTAATAATCCAAGTCAACTAGCTAGGAAATACCTCGCGTCCCGCCAATTGCTGCGTGTTGTCGCAAGCCGGATCTCCTGAGCCGCATCCCAAGCATGTCACATGTAAGAGGAGCTTTTTATTGAATCGCCAGAAAGAAGAAAAAACAGAATCAGCATAACAACAACCGTCATGAAAGTATAATATACAGATGATGATGAAAATGGGCAGAAATTGATGATAAGATAACTGATAACATGTTCGTAACAGAATTAGCAACATAGCCAACGAAATTCGTGCTAAGAAGCCCTGCGACAGTGATGAGCACTCTCCGAAACGACACGATCGGAGAGATGGCAATGACATAGAAGAAGCATCAGTACATACAGGAAAGATGCCCATCGATTGGGCGGACACTTCGAGTTTGATACGATGGAATGATATAGCTTGAGCTACGACTTATACCCATATTGATATTCAAGAAATTGTTGCTCTTCGTCAACTTGCACTTGATGACCGATTTCCATCTCCTGAAAAAAAAACACCCAGATGATGTTTGGAGCCGTGTCTATACGGGTATGTGCTAAGAGAATCAAAAATGACCACTCTTGTGGGCGTCGCGTGCGACGTCGCGCCCGCATCGCGCCAGCAAATGGCGATGGTTCCAGGTAGTAAATGGCGACAAAAAGCAGTTTGAAGCCCTTAAAGGATCATGAATGTTCACTCTGACGGGGTCTACATGAAGTCCGGTGCTCCGATCGACAGGTAACACGAGTTAAGAAAACGTAGCGTCGCGGCTATCGCCGCGCGCGGCGGAGAGGCAAATTACGTCAGACGGGTAATCATTCTTACCCGTCTCCCTGTCTTACACCTGATGTCATCGTGGTAGTCGGGGCGGTGGTTAAAGAATTCAAGTGAGCGGAGCTAACGTTTCTCTATTGTTTTCTGTTTCTTAATTCGACCTCTAAGCCGATCACTATTGGTTGAAAAAGGCGGGTTCACTCCCCCGGACACCATTCGCCTGCTTCTGACACCAGCTATATACTGAACATATACTGGCCAACATATTGCTATCCTTAAAAAACTTTCCGAGAGTTGAGCATTAACATTCAAAGGTACAGGATACGATGACGTTGCTAAAGGCAGTGTTCAGACTTCGCGACGGCAGCGCTTCGGTCGCGCGTTCGACGCGATCGATGCGCATGCTTTCTACTGCATCGAACGCGCGACCGAAGCGCTGCCGTCGCGAAGTCTGAACGCTGCCTAAGCTTATGGGGAAAGAAGTCCAGCAAAAAAATAGAAACCACTTCGCCCGAACAGGCTGTGTACACCCGTATCCTACGGTGAAAGGGATCGTAATTGCGGAATCGTGGGCGTGTTCTCGAAAATTCTTGCCCTCCCTAATACAGATCGTCTTCATCAAGCTACAGTTTTACTAGTTGAAGGCCATTGAGCTTTCAATGCAAATGAAGAATTTTTTCATCGGCAGGAACTTCTATTTTTCTGATTCCTCTGGCACGTACGTCACTATATACACTCTAGTTCGCTGCGGACGGTTGGGCGTGTCAGCCAGTATGAGTGTGTCACCCCGTCAAAGCCGTTCTCTGCCTTCTTGTTGAAACGCGCATGCGACAAAAAGTGGTAGAAAACGAGTAATACGAAGGATATGATACAGTATTGTCACTTGCCCGCTTCAACAACTGGTGGAGAACGAGTTTGGCACCGCGCCAAACGCAGCCGCACTGACACGCCCAACCGTCCGCAGCGAACTACACTATACTCACATACGACCCATCATTCTCCACAACTGTGTGATGTGTTTCCCCGCGAAGAGCGCCCTTGCGGTGACT